AGATAGAGAGATCAGATTTCTGGTTTGGTGGGGATGTGGTTACATATTATCACTTACCAGAAAGAAGGCATTCGCGTACCAAGTGTACAGAAACAATGTCCAGCCCACCCAGTTGTTTGTGCCGCTCCCACCAGTCAGAAGCTCGCTGAGAAACAGTGTCACAATCACCCCCACAAATTTGTATCCTGAATAAGCCACCAAATCCAGGAGTTGCGAGTCGTTGCTGATGCTCAGCATGTACATGGCGATCTTCAGGACGATGATCTCGAAGATGATGACGAAAATGGCCGTGCTGGTTATGCTGCCCAGCAGTTCAGGGTGGAATGAACCCCTCACACCGGCGAGCACAGTCGACAGGAGGATATATGTGATCAAGGCCATGATTGGGATGTACATGTCTGGCGAATTGAGGTCGTCGCGAGGCGGCAGGTAGTTGAATGAATAGGACTGTTGGGTCATTGTGCCGTCGGCAGCGGTCGAGGAGGTGGTCATTCGAGCTTGCTGTCGCGTCCACGGCTTATGCCGCCAGGGAAACAGAACAAGCAGTAGCTTCCGCACCACGTACGAGTTGGAGACATTGAAATAGTGTTTCAGCGCAGAGACGGAAATGTAGCGGTTCAACTGGCAGGAAAGAGACGTGTCAGCATTTGTCATTTTCCACCTGGATACTCCACGAGCGCCAGACTCTCGTCCACGGTGTGTGGCCTGAAATCGGATCGTACACATACATTCTGCTCCATATATTCTTGTCCAGCCTTCATGGCATGCTGCCCTACTTGAAATCCCATCTGGGCTGTTGGGTCGGTCATGAAGCCGAAGTTGGGGCCAAAGCCTCCCCCTCCACCACCTCCCCCGGCCGGCGGCGACTGATATGGATTCCCATAGCTATTAACTGGGGGCTGTGACGAGTTCTGCGAGGCTGGAGGTGGAGGGGAGCGCATCATAGGGACTTGTGAGATGTGCTGAGGACGAGGATGGAATAACTCGGGGGATTTTTGAGGCGGAGAGAAAGGCTGGCGCTGCATTCTGGCCGAGGACGGTCGTGAAGTGTCTTGTGATGTGTGCCTAGTGCTGTTGCGAGTCTCGGTGTCGTCTCAACAGTTTGGTGAATGGAGTGACAGGCTGTCCTGAATAAATCATGGATGTTGTTGTTGCGGTGCGCCGCACAACTACTGGGAAATCTGTCCCCGATGCAGCCCCACGCCGCTTTAACACTGTTTCTCCGCACTCAAGATTGTTTGGTGGGCTATATATCCCGCCGCTATTGTGCTATGTTCTATGACGCTCCAGCGAGCTCGTGCATTCTGTGCACCTCGTATACCTCGATCTGATTCTATTCAACTGTCGCTCGATTGGCCTCTCGTCATTCCGACAGACTACACGCGACTAGAACAGGGTATATCAACGACCAGACCAAACCAAACCAAAGATATGAGTAAGTCGTCTTGCATGTGCCTCTCAAGGGAGAACTGGATCCAAGATGTTCCCAGCTGTCATGGCTACGGACCGAAAACATTCAGGACTATGTCTTGGGCCGATGCGTTATAGACTTCTCCGTGATCTATCTTCAAGAGCGATTGTTCCTCTCGTTTGTTCCTCCGACTTCATCTCGAACCAGTTGGATTCGAGTGCGTGGTAGGCATCGGAACGATAAAGCCAGCCTAGCCCAAGGAATTTCTACCACCTACTCCGTTGTTGTGGGCAGTCCTTCCTGCGACCATCTATATACCCGCTAGGTAAACGGAACCTGTAATGCCCGACATCTCTAGCCTTCACAGAGAGACACTCTCACCAAGAATGTCGGTGTGCAGTGTGACATGATTCTTCTCCCAAGAATGTGGGATAATGCATTTGCACGCCAACAGATTACAGATCCATGGTTGTGGATGACCAGGGAATTCTGTACCTATCAAGATTCCGATGGCACCTCTTATCCAAGCACCCGGACCAGTTCTGTGTGGAACAGTCATTGAGTTGACTTTTACAAATGTCCCACAGGACCAAACGGGCGAACCTTATGCCAGGTCCAAAATACTCCGACTCCAAGACGGTTGAAAAGTAAAAGGTTTTGCATGGATCCGTTTTCATCCAGCTTTCTGGGCATTAGAGAGGAGACGCGTTGAGGGCGTTGCCCCTCTGTGACCGACCCGCCGCACAGCGCTTGAAACGAATCTGCAGAGCTTTGTAGACAGCAAAAGTTGAGCAGAGAAGACCGAGTGAGGTCTCGAAAAGAGCAGCGAGACACACACACGAGCACTATCAAAGCGTCCCCCATTCTAGGTAGAGGGTAACTCTGTGCATCTTCTCCAAAACACTCGACCTGGACCTCATTGCGGCTGAAATCAGTCGAAGTGGACTGTCCCAAAGTTCCAAAGGTCCAAGACCCAAGGCCGTGATTGACCACATGCTGCAAATTGCCTTGCGGAGAATAGGCGAGGACCCTCCCAAACCTTTCGCTTCTCCAGGTTTAGCGAGACACTAACGGGAGATCTGCAGGGCTTAGAACGACACGGCCAGTGGGTAGTCAGGTACCAAGATACGAGGTCGGAACCTTGCAGCCCCTGAAAAAGGGGGTCAACTGCAAGAATGCTGCGAAGGAGACAACAGGCGACGAGATCCGTTCGGGTGGTTTGGGGGGAGTTGTCCTGGGTTCCATGCAGGGGTTTGTTCGGTCAATGTCCTGGACTCAACTCGGTCAGAGTGGCTTGAACATCATCATCCTCCGGAACTCGTATTCGGATTGAACAAACTACCACCGACTGCAAAGCTTGTTGAATGGCAGATTCAGAGTCCCCTAAAACTTTCCGGAGCGGTCCCGCGCCACCGTTGTTTCGACCTCGCTCTCTCTCCGGCTTTCCAGTAGTCAACCTTGGCCGTGACAAAACCTTTTTTCTCGTGTTTCAACGCCTCCAATTTCAAGAGCGCGTTGAACAAGATGAGTCAATGTGGACAAGCTCAGGGACCACTTGGACCGATGCATGGGGTCAAAAAGCCATCTTCGCCCCACGACCTCTCGGCATCCTTGCTTCCACGCTCTTCTTCTCGCCTAAATAGTCTTCGGGTCGTGCATGTCACAAGGCTGGGCAACGGATATGAAGAGATTTGCAGACGGCTTGTACCCCTCGCGGCGCCGGCTTGTAGCCAACGAAGGAGCCCGTCGCGACACACGTTTCCAGCCTCACCGAGCGACCAGAACGTTTCCGGCTTGACTTGTGATTAAGGAGGGCCTTACGATCGAGTCAAAATGGTTTAGACTCATCAACGACGGCCCTAGCAAGCATGGAGAAAGGGCTCAAGGGTGGTGAAGTCCCGATGCTTAAAGGGTCATATACTGCAGGGCATGATCACGGAGCCGTGTTTTCTTCCTCCAGCATTCTGTCTTCGTCTATTCTTTTGCTTGTTACTGACCCAAGTCATTCCTTCCGGAAACAACCCACACACTCGTTTATAAAATGGCCTCAAATGGAGCAGCACCTGCTGGAGCCCAGGGCGGCGTGGTCGACCAGAAGGATGTGCAAGACTGGATGAACCGCTTCAACGAGGCCCTGGCCGACTCGACGACGATCACTGCACCAGCTGCACCAGATGCCCGTCCCTGGCACTCATCCTTCTTCGGCTGCTTTGCCCCCATTGACACGTGTATGTTGAGGCTTGACACCCCGAAGATACAAAGACTGACATTATTTCTGCAGGCTTCATCACTTGTTGCGTGCCGTGTGTCACCTTTGGCAAAACCCATCACCGCAGCCGCAAGCATGGCAACATGGAGGGATACAACTTTGTCAACGCTTCTGTGAGTTTTACTGTTTCCCTCGTCGCTCTTCTTAGGACTTTGCTACAACGTGACACTTTCCGCTCTCGGGCTAGCGATGAAGCATCTGAGAAAATCTTTTACTGATTGTCAAACAGTGCCTCATGTTCACCGGCTTCTCCTGCTTCGGCCTGCACTTTATCCCCATGATGTTCCAGCGCGCGGACATCCGCAAGAAATACAACCTGCAGGGCGACTGCATTGGCGACCTGTTCACCTCGTGCTGCTGCGCCTGCTGTTCGCTCATCCAGCAGGACAAGGAGGCCGAGCTGCGAGAGAAAGAGCTGGCCGACAAGGTCAATGGCACCGGGTACATGAAGCCCCAAGACATGGCGTATCCTGCCTAAGCGAGGGCGAGGCAATGCGAAGGCGAAGGCAAAGGCGTATTGTGATGTGCTATCATATGTTTGGTTGCTCAATGATCTGATCTGTCTGAAGCTTTCCCCCATGTGAATAATCCTCTGTATTTTCGATACTCGATACTCCCACCCGGCTGGCTGTCTGCTTATAAATGGTCATTCTTTGGAAGACGGTCTTGAGATTTCTTGATTTCTTGTACCAAGTCCTCGGTAGAGTCTCTCCATCCCTGTCTTGATTCTGACCCACACACCCACCCTAGAGTCCGTAAGGCTGAAGCCCCTTTTTCCGGGCCATCTCCAGCGCCTTCTTCCACCCCCTGTTCATCTTCCCTACTCGTGTGTCTCGATAATCTCCTCCATAAAGTGTAAATTTACCTTGGTGTTTTGTCGTATTTATCATATCATATCAGACATCAGATATCAGAACCCGCCTTTCTCATGAGGGGGACAGTGATCCTCCCACGGCTTGAGTCTGAGTCTGAGCCTAATCTGGAATGTGGGAATGCGGGGTGTGGGAGAAATCCATCCAAGTAACCTCGTACATAGGTCATTTACACGAGTTGACGGGATGCATCAATCATAACCACGAATTGTCCTGTTCTCCAACAACAACAATCCTCCGCCATCCGGCAAGCGACCGTACCGCTAAAGAAGAGATAAAGTGTTTTATGTGACAACAACAACAACATATACATCTATACCTGGTCTTTGGTATCCATCATTACCATCACCACCACAAGGCCATAAAATCTACCAGCTCTACCTCTACCACATAAATCTCATTCCTTCCCCTTGCTCTGCTACGCTCTAGTTAGAGGACTCATTGAGAAATGGCCACCCCGAGCATAACCTTCCCCCCCTCCAACACGGCCGTGCGCGTCCGCCTCGTCGACACCACCGCCGTCATGACCGTGCGGGCCGAGTCGTTCGTCAAGCCCGCGCAGCCGGGCCACGAACTGCTGAATTTGACGTGCGCGGCGTTTCTGATCGAGCACCCTTCGTCCTCTCCCGGTTCCGGGCCAGACAGGATCATGTTCGACCTCGGCGTGCGCACCGACTACTGGAACTACGCGGCCGTGTTGCAGGCGCGTATCGGGTCGGTTATTCCCAGTCTGCGCGTCGACAAGGGCGTGCCGGAGATTCTGGTCGACAGGGGCGTCGGGCTTGATTCTATCTGTGAGTTGTCAATACAGTGACTGGCGGGTGAGATAAGGGAAGGGGTGGTTTTATCGCGTCATTCATACCTCCTCATCTTCTTCCCCATTCTCCTCCGGATATTTTGACTCCCAACTTCTAACCATCCCTTTTTGTATGGGCCAAACACAGCTTCGGTCATCTGGTCCCACTTCCACTGGGACCACATCGGCGACATGTCCCTCTTCCCGCCCTCCACCGAGGTGGTCGTCGGCCCGGGCTTCAAGTCCTCGCCCCTCCTGTTGCCCGGATACCCGGACCACCCGGGCTCGCCGGTGCTGGCGTCCGACTTTGCCGGCCGCGAGCTCAGGGAGATCGACTTTGCGAGCGCGAGTGGCTCGACCCTCCAGATCGGAAACTACAGAGCGTTTGATTTCTTTGGCGACGGCTCGTTTTATTTGCTCGGTGCGTTTTAAAACCCCCCAGCTTTTCGACGAGCACGTATATGTAGTAGATATGTGGATATCGGTCAGGTTTTTTTACTGTGCGGTGCTGCGTCAATTACAGCTGACGATCCATGTCCGACGCTGCGGCAAACAGACACCCCCGGCCACTGTCTAGGACACATGTGCGGACTGGCCCGCACGACGGCGGGCGACGACGACAGTACATTCCTATTGCTGGGCGGCGACATCTGCCACTTTGTCGGGGACCTCCGACCGAATCCGACGCATCCCATCCCCGACCCCGTGCCGGGCGACGTCCTCGACAACGACCCCAGCTACTTCCCCACGCCGTGCCCGTGCAGCCTCTTCACCGAGCACCACCCGGCCATCTCACAAGGTGACCATGGTGACCCGACCCAAACGCCGTTCTACAAAGTCTCGACACACCCCATGTCCGCATACGTCGACCCGCCGACCGCCCAGGCCTCGGTCGACAAGCTCCTCCACTTCGAGCAGTCTCCCGCCGTCATGGTGTGCCTGGCCCACGACGCCGCGCTACTCAGGTATCTCCCCACATTCAACAAAGAGCCCGAGGCGGACCTCAACGGGTGGAAGGCCAAAGGGTGGAAGGAACGGTGTCGCTGGGACTGGCTCAATGAGATGCCGCGCCACGGTAGGCCGGGCAGGAAGCCGATCGTCCAGGGGTTCTGGCGGGATGGTAAGCCGTGGGATAGAAAGGTAGATTCATAGAGATATATCGGGGAGGAATCAGTAGTAGGATCAACAGGGATCCAATATGCTGGAGCGAGAGGATGGAGGCGGAATGGAGATAAAAAGAAATAAAACAAACAGAAGAAAGGAAAAGTCTCACGCCTTTGAGGACAAGAGGTAGGTAGTAGATAGACGCCGTCATCACCACGGGCATTTTTTGTGAAACATCTTTAGATTCTTGAGGAAGTGCTCGCTTCTGCTGTCTTTTCCCCCACAACGCGCGAGACCAAGTTGAGGTTCATTTGTACCTGCGTGAAACTAAGAAAAAGGAAATATCTGTTCCGTTCTCCCTTCCCTCCAAGATCGGAAAAGAAATGTCTTCTTCAAGACCCGATCTTGCGCCACTTGAATTCTCCTCGAGCCTGTTGTCCATCCTGCACACGCTCAATATCAGCACGAGAAATTTTTCCTTGTGAAAATAAATGTTCTCGCCCCCTTTTTCTGAGGATGGAAGAGAGGTAGGGCGGCAGGATAGAACATACCTTCAGAGTGTACCACTTGACAGGGTTGAGGGTCATGTACTCAGCTCCGCCGTCACTAGAGAACCGAGCCACCCTCGTCTGCGGCTTGCCGATCCAGTTCGGGTTGCTGGCCACCTCGACCTGGGTGTGCCACAGCAGCGAGCCGTCATCTTGCTCCGACAGTGTCATGAAGCCACCGTACGAGGACAGGCTGCGGCCGATGCGCACCAACTCGGCGTCCGTGGGCTCGGCCGACTCCAGGGGCTCCAGACCCGGCGGTTGGACCAGCGTCGCGAGCAGGAAGCCCGATGCCGAGATGACCACTCTGCCCAGCGGGTTGTCGCCAAATGGTCTGCCTAGGAGTTTCCTGTCGGGCCCTTCCGAGTCGTACATGTCAGCTGAGAGCAGCGTCCACACCCCGGACAGTTTGTCCTTGTGCTTGTCAAAGACGTTTGTCATTTTTTGTGTCGTCACCAGTTCGAGACGCTGGGCGGTGGGTGGTATGTATGTGGGAGTGAGGGTTGCAGATCCTGGGAAGGGGATATGAGGTGGGCACGCACTAATAGCAAACTTGCTAAGCTTCGTCAATCTCTGCTGGAAATGATCTTGTCAAGTTATACACTGGCAGAGGCTAGAGGTCGGCATATCACGGTCCTCTTTTCAAGCCAGGTTGGGTCAAGGGGGTTTTATGTATCCGAGGTTCTCTGACTTGTCCCAATCACAGATGGTCTAGGAATTGGAGAAGCATTCGAGCACATGCAGACATGGTCGTGATCACCGCGGCCTATTTGGGGTGTCGTGACACGCTGACACTTGTGGTATACTTGATATGTTTCTTTTCCAGACGACAGTTGTGCACAAGGATTGGATCCGCTCCACATCCGCTCCAGATGCTTTGTTCGCTTGAAACGCAGAGAGTCGATGGGTACAGAGGACGTTCGGCACAGGTTACATGCTGGTATTTCAGTGCCTGAACATAAAGCATCAGGGCCATCGCAACAACAATAAGACCTTGTTCAGGAGGAGGGCAAGAGGACGATGGACTCAGGGGTATCTCGGGGTCAGGTAATGCTGCCTCTGGTCTGGTGGCGTGGTGGTCGTAATGTACCATCTTCTTTCGTCCAGACAATGAACAGCGTACTGGAACCATACTGAGGATCAAAGAAAAGGTCACAGCAACTAGAGCAGGGTTCAACAGACAATTACAACAGGTTGGCCGAGCTAATGTCTCTCTAATGGTCCACGGTGTCTCCACGTTCAACTGCGACTTGGCGCGACCGTGTGAGGTGGTTGTCTTGTTGCTGTCTGCGTTTTTCATCATCTGCTTCACCCACCCCGAACTGAGCCTGAGCCCTTTTCATCTCACTTGTCACATTTTCCATCCGCTTCCGCTCCGCCTATTGCCCTCCAGTGCAGTGTCCGCGCTACCTCAATATGCCTTGTGAAGATTTCATCGACGTCAGTGTGCACGTCGACGGCGCGCCGTTGGCAGAATATGCTGACCCCGAAGCCGCCGACTCCAAGAACGCCACCAAGTTCGCAACGACGCGCTATGTGGAAGTCAAAGCAGGTCAAAAGTTTGCGGTTCATGTCAAGTTGCTTGCTGGGTTCAAATTCCACTCTGCCACGCACCTTCGCGCGGCCCTTTACATCGACCAGGAGTCGCGAGCCACGACCAAGACAATCAAACTCCCGCCAAACTGTCCTGTTCATGCAAATGTCCTGCGGATGTCGAGAGAGTGTCAGATTGAGAGCCGCCTGATGCTGGACGAGAAAACTGGAACTTGGTCTACCTACGACCTGCAGTTTGGAGATCTGGCTGTCAGTAAGTCAAGACTTCCCTCCTAAAGTTCGACGACACCACTAACAGTAGATAAGAAGATGATTGGTTCTTGTCGGATGATGAAATAGAGTCGGGCGACGTCTCATCTCTGGGAAGCCTTCATGTCAAAGTTTTCAGAGCCACCAAGGTCTTGCGACACCAGCCTTTCACATACACGGCCAAGTTGAAGAAGCCTTTGGACGAGGTCTCGGAGACAGCCTTAAAGGGAAGAGATGTCAGCAACAACGTCAAGTACCTCACCCCTGATTGCAAAAAGCAAACTAAACAAGTCGCTCACTGCCGTCTTAGATACGTCGTCAAGACAACCGCTCCACCTCCACGACCGGGTCTCTGGAATTATTATCCCCTCGACGACTGGCGCGGTTCCCCGTACGAGTTCGTCTTTCACTACCGAAACAGACGTGAGTAGCAAAGTGATACGCCCTCAGATCCGTGCACTGACTTGCTCCTCAGGCGTTCTGCAGACCCTCGGATGTATCGCCAGGACCCCGTCGCCCCCTCCGAACCTTGCTGTTAAGCTCGAACGCACGGAAGAGAAGCCGAAGGTGAAGAAAGAGAATTCCCAGAAGCAAATCTCCGAGTCGCAGGTATGTCGGTTGATATCATGCAGGTCATACATGACTGCTAATGATGGCAGGTGAGGTTCGCTTCGGGTGAATGTGGCAATTGTGGAAATGGGAATGTTGGCACAAATGTCGTTCCGGCAAAGCGCACCTGGGACGAGACCAAACTTGAGGATGACAATGACCAGGAAGAGAACGGAAAGCTGGCCCTTGTCCCGATCCATAAACAGGTTGTTATCGACCTTACCAATGATTGATGATTGACGTAGCGCCCGGCTTGAACAACAAATATCAACAACCAACACCACATGTTCAAGGTACGCGTGTGAAGCTTGTCAGCAGGATGTGCTGGCATCATGGCCTAGCAAAGCTCATTCAGATCATTGGAAGAACAGAACAGATGTGTGGTTGGTCCAAGACAGTACAACAGAATGGAAGATGGGAGTGAAGAGCTAGTGAAAGATATTTGTCGGACAAGGCTGGATTTTCGGGGAGCACATCGCACGTTGGCATGCACATTGAGATTCAGCCAAGCTTGTTTGGCTTGCTCAGGACCCCTGCCCTTGGTGCTCCATCCATCATGTATGTATCGAGCCGAAATCGGACGGCACTTGGGTGTCTCTCTCCGCAGCGAGTTGGAGTAACTGAGGCAAAATAGTCAGTTTAGAGAAAATGAAACCCAACCTTAGCATGGCGTGCATGCGGAGGTTCAATCATTGCTTTCCATTTCCATCCCTTACCCAAGGTATGAGGGATTATTACAGCCCATGGGCATTTTCTCCTCGCGGCGATTGTGCGGGCATGGAGCATGTCTCTCTCCCCATGGCTGATCAGGATCCATCGAGAAATCAATCAATGCTTCCCCGCTCTGGGGATGGTGCATGTCAATATCATTCATACGCAGATGGGGTTTGGTGCTTTCGTTCTGTGTAGTCTCGACATTGACAACTAGACACCATTGATAGAGTACTTTGTCATCTAGTCGCGCAGTGCATTCAGTGAACATCATTTCGTCTGAGCTAACAAGACTATCCGCCCTTGTCCTCCTCCATCAGCATCGTCACCACCACCACCACCATCATGGCCGATAAAATACTCTGTAAGAAGATCCCTTACACGGTATGTCGCTTCGCTTTGTCTCGCCGCTTGGCCCCTCTCCCCTCCCCGTTTTGTTTTGTAAGGACAAGATCTTAACATTGATGGGGGGCGAACATGCTCCCCGCGGGGAAGGGATATAGTTCCAAGATCCGACACTGTTGGACACGAGGTCCTTTATAGGGGGAAAATGGGTCGATGCAGTCAACGGTGACAAGTTTGCTGTTCTCGGTAAGGATACCATTCCCTCCTGCGAGATACAGGCCGTCCGATCATCCACCTGGGACATTGAGAGGAGGATGACTACGAGGGAAGGAGAGATTGGCTCACTCTCGACAGACCCGACCGACAACGAAAAGATCTGCGACGTGGCGGACGCGGGTCGCGAGGAGACGCGCCAGGCCCTCGAAGCCGCGCAGGCGGCGTTCAAGACGTACAAGAAGACGACGGCGCGGGAGCGACGGTGGCTGATGCGGCGGTGGGCGGACCAGATCCGGCTGGCCAAGGACGACCTGGCGGCCATCTGCACGCTCGAGCTGGGCAAGCCGTACACCGAGTCGCACGTCACGGTCAAGTACGGGACCGACTTCCTCGACTGGTTCGAGGGCGCCATCGAGCGGCAGTACGGCGAGACGGTGCCGGCCGCGAGGGGTGAGAACCGCATCATGACCATCCGCCAGCCCCAGGGGGTCGTCGCGGCCATCACGCCCTGGAACTCGCCCATCGCCATGGTGACGAGGAAGGTCGGCGCCGCCATCGCCGCGGGCAACACCGTCGTCTGCAAGCCCGCCCCCGAGACGCCCCTGTGCGCCATCGCCGTGGCCAAGCTCTTCGAGAGGGCCGGCGGTCCCCCGGGCGTCTTCAACGTCGTCACCTCCAGCGCGGCAAAGTCGGCCCAGGTCGGCGAGGAGTTCACCCAGAACCCCATCGTGCGCCACCTGAGCTTCACGGGGTCCACGGCCGTCGGGCGCCACCTGCACGCCGAGTGTGCAAAGACGTTTAAGAAGACCAGTCTGGAGTTGGGAGGGAATGCGCCCTTTATCATCTTTGAGGATGCGAAGCTGGACAAGGCTGCCGAGGGTGAGTCAAGACACGTGCATGGCACTGTTACCCCTTTCTTGTTACTCCCTGCCCTAGGTGCAACTATTCTCTCTCTCTCTCTCTCTCTCTCTCTCTCTCTCTCTCTCTCTCGTGTACTGAGTATTTGACATCTATTTCATCTTGTATCTAACCCAAGACCCACCCTCCCTTTCTTGGGAGGAGGGGGGATATACAGGTCTCATCACATCCAAATTCCGCTCGTCAGGCCAGACGTGCGTGTGCGCGAACCGGATCCTCGTGCACCGGTCCATCATCGACCAATTCGCCACCGTGCTGGCCGACAAGCTCCGCAAAACCTTCCGCTACGGCTCCGTCTGGGACAAGCAGGTCAACTTCGGCCCGCTGTACGCGCCCAAGGCGTTTGAGAAGATCGACGCGCAGATCCGGGACGCGGTGAGCAAGGGGGCCAAGGTTTTTGCGAGGGGCGACGACGAAGAACGAGCGAAAGAGGTGTACGGACCAAACTTCTACCCACCCACCATCGTCACGCACGCGACCAAGGACATGCTCTTCATGGCGCAAGAGACGTTCGGCCCGCTCGCGTTCCTCGTCCCCTTCGACACGGAAGACGAGGCCGTCGCGCTGGCCAACGACACGAGCGCGGGGCTCGCCTCGTATTTCTACACCGAGGACATTTCGCGGCTGTGGCGCGTCGCGGAGGCCCTCGAGTCCGGCATGGTCGGCGTGCGCGTCGGGCTGATCAGTGCGTGCGAGCAGCCGTTCGGGGGTATCAAGGACAGCGGTGTCGGGAGGGAGGGCGGCCGCGATGCCCTCGACGAGTACACGGAGGTCAAGAGCATTACTGTTGGTCTCTGACTGTAGCAGTTTTACCAGGTTACTGATTGCTTGATTGAGGGAGTGAGAGACACACACATATGGGGATAGATGGTCAGATGGTTGGCCGAGTATGGCTAGAAAGTAGAACGACCACGTATCGATCAATGGTCTGATGGCTTTTGGGTTCAGGTTGGATTTGCTCAGAGTGCTCAATCCTCTCTGCGTATACATCTGTTTTCTAGAAAACAAAATACCATGGGCATTATCTGATACTGGCCCTCTCCCTCTCCCTGTGCCTCCTTTTCTCTGGTCAAGCCAATCGTCACTCTCAGCACCTGATTTCGCTCATGATTTGTTCGATCCATGGCATCTCTTTCTTCCCTCGCAAGCATCTCCTCAGCTCCCACCCACGGCCTTCGCTGCCGCCGTGCCGGCTCTCCGCCCAAAGACCGCCCCAGACGTCAAGCCGCTGCCGCCAGGGTAATTCTCGTAGAACAAGCCGCCCATCATCTCGCCGACGGCGTACAGCCCGGGGACACCCTTGCCTGTGGTGGAACTGACCACCTGCGCCGTGTCGGGGATGACCTTCAAGCCGCCAAACGTAAAGGTGATGCCGCACGTCACGGCCACGGCCAAGAACGGCGCCTTGTCGACGGGGAGGGCCCAGTTGGTTTTGCCCAGCGGGAGCCGCTTCGCGCTAGACTGGGTCGACATGCCGTCGCGCACGGCCGGATCCCACTTCTTGTCCGGGTGTTCTTGTTGGAAAGCGTAGACGGCCTCGTTGTACTCGTGCAGGTTCCGCACAAAGACCTCGCGGTTCTCCAGACCCAGTGGCGCTAGCTTGTCGGCCAGCTCCTCAATCGTGTCCGCGGTGATGCGCTCGACCCTCTCCGGCCGATACTCCTCGGATCGCAGCCACGGGGTGGTCCGCGAGTCCCAGATCTGGAAGGCGATGTGGCTCGGCTGGGCGAGGATGGCCCGGCCGAATTTAGCGTACGTGTAGTTACGCAGGTCGACGCCCTCGTCGACGAACCGCTCACCCAGGACATTGAACATCAGACCCAGCGGGTAGCCGGACTTTGTGAACTCGTTGGACGCTTCACGGTCGCCCGTGTCGCTAGGAGCATTGGCATCCCAAGCCACCGAGTGACACCCAGACCAGTTTCCAGCCTGGCCCGCCGAGACGTCGCGGATGGCCGTCTCGAGGCAATCTCCCATGTTGTGAGGGGTGCCTCTGACCTTGGCCAGATCCCAGCCAGGACCCAGATATTGAGACCGCAGACGCGGATTGCTCTCGAAACCTCCAGCGGCCAGAATGACGGCGCCTGTTTGAATCAGGGCATCCTCGCCGTTGGTCTGCACGGCCACTGAGGTGACAGCACCCGTCTTGGGGTCGGTTATCAGCCGTTTCAGCGCGGTCGAGTAGAGGACCTCGACACCATGCTTGCGAGCCGCGGCCTTGTGATCCTCAATCAAGCCCTTGCCGCCGTCCTGCGTTTTGAGGGATAACCCGCCCCAGAACTTCAGGCGTCCGTCGACTTCGTACGCTTGCCTGTTGAACGACAGCTGGAACCGGATGCCATTGCTCTTCAGCCATTTGACCGTGGCATTGGAGTCCCCGATGAGGATCTGGGCGAGCTGTGGATCCGACCGGCCACTGCATATCCTTTTCATGTCGTTGGCGAAGCTGTCCACCGTGTACGGCTCCAGATCGATCCTCTTGGCCGTCTCCTCGTCCACGTTATTCACCAAGGGCAGCAGGTCCTCCGTGCCATGGTGAACAGTCCGATACGCACCCGCCGTGAAATATGAATTCCCGCCTGCCCATTCCTCGGGGCACTTGTCGATGAGAAGAACATGCTTTGCCCCAGCCTGCTTGGCCGCCACGGCAGCCGAAAAGCCAGCATTACCGCTCCCTGCGACGAGGACATCGCAGCGGGTCGGAAGGGGAGCCATTTTCTAATTTCGACGGCACTGAAGACGAAGAGCAAGAAGGGCTAACTCACATTGGAAAGTCAACCAGCAAACAAGAGACGCAACGTTGATGATGGAGTTTATTCTCCAGACTGGTGTGTTCTGGTTTTCTCCTCGGTGTTTCGTTTCCAGGTCACAACACCATGGTACAACCCTTGTTCTGACCTGCAATAAGGAAAAATCAGTCTTTCGGCTTTTGGATTTGGATCGGCAATTCGATGACTATTGCAGATGTCAGGAGATGCGTGGCCCCTGCAGAGGCCGCTATCGGCGTAATATGGGGGGTGATGGCCAGTTGCGTAGCAGTGTCTCTACCGAGTTTACCCCCTCTCGCCCCTTAACCCCGTGCCCCCCAATTTTTACGGGGGTCCTGAGTTGGAGAAGGACGCCCTGGGCTCGACACCCGCACCTGGCCCTGGGCATGACAGGGGCCGCCGATGCCTGTAACTAACCCAAAGTGCCCAACTGGACAGACATCTTATAGGCGACGGCACCCACGCCGGGCATTTGACTGGTGCCCCCCCTGTGTGCCCTCGGCAATCATCGGGGGCATCTCCGCACAGAGCGGCTTGCTGTCCCCTTGCCCCCCTCATCCTCTCCCGCTCTATCCAGGCTCACAGCCTTGTCAGCACCCCAAAATATCAGCGCTCAACAAACACCAAGGTAAGTACGAGGTAGTGAAATCAATCTTCTTGCAGCCCCAAGAAACGAACACTCTTCCAAGAACTCGGCCATGGGACGTCTAGACGGCAAAGTGGCTCTCGTCACTGGAGCCGGCAGCGGGTTCGGCGAGGCCATTGCACACGCATATGCAGCAGAAGGGGCCAAAGTGCTGATTGCAGACATTGCCGTCGCCAACGGAGAGAAGGTGGCCTCTGAGATTACCGCCAAAAGTTACACAGGGGAAGCCATCTTCGTCGAACTCAACGTCACCAAGCGTGAGGATTGGGAAAAAGGCCTCACTCTGGCCAAGGACAAATTTGGGAAGCTGGACATCGTGGTCAACAATGCCGGCACCACCTACAAGAAGCAACCAAGTATGGGCGTCTCCGAGGCAGACTTCGACAGGGTCGTAGCCGTCAATATCAAGAGCATTTATTTGTGTGTGTCAGTCCTGATGCCGTACTTTGTCGAGAGGAAAAGCGGCGTCTTCTTGAGCACTTCGTCCATTTCAGGCATGCGGACTCGACCAGGGCAGGTCTTTTATGGAGGTACCAAGGGATTCGTCAACACGGTAACTTGGAATACTCCCCCCCAAGCTTATTGCTTAGCCTTTGCTGATTTTGGATGTATTTAGATCACCCAAGGGCTGGCTGCCGAGTATGGCCCAGATGGAATCCGCGTGAACTCGATCTGTCCGCTGCGGGGTGCCACAGGCTTGTTGGAACTATTTAGTGGTGTCCCAGATACTCCTGAAGAAAGGGAGAGATTTGCCCAGACGGTCCCGTTACGCCGCATGTCGGAACCAAACGACATCGCCATGGCGGCAGTTTACCTTGCCAGTGACGAGGCGGCATTCGTCACAGGTGTCAATCTGCCGGTGGATGGAGGGCGACTGGCTCTGTGACCACTGTTGAGGAGTGTCTTTAGGATGCTTCCTTCCTGTCGAGGAAAGAGTGGTATAGCTGCATTCGTCCAAGTTCTCTTTTGAGATCGACAAAGCCAGCTATGCAGTTCGAAATCCACTTGATGGTGGAGGCGTGGGTTGTCTAGTTTAGACCAAAGGCACATTAGGGAGACCTACCTGCCGAATCTGAAGCATTTGTTGCTTGTACCGATCACAGGTCGGCTTGAAATCAGCAGACTCGTTGTAGTTCAACTCCCTGCATTTGTGGAGAGCATCTAGTCACGTAGAACTGGTGGGAGGCAAGAGAAAAGCAAAACCGACCACGCGTCCCCGAAACGAGACGAATCGACTGGACGAGAGCTGACCATCAAAGGCAAAGAAATGACCAGAAAATCCTTCGTGCCCCAATATCAAGTTTGAGGGAAGCATTGACAACCTCTTTAGACAGTAGGAGGGTGTCAGTTGTCAGGACTTCGCCCACGGCCTTGTCCCGGCAGGGCGACCTGGCTCGATTTCTGACTGACCATCTCTTTTCAGACCCAATGGCCAGATCCGACTACTCGAATCTAAAAATACTTCGGCTGTTTGTGGGGAACGAGTAGCAGCAAGACGGGAATTTATCGGTGGGTTTGGCATCGTCGTCGTTATCGATGGGGCACAGCCTCCTTCGTCCCTCATACAAAACCCCTTCGTAAGCTTTAACACTTTGGGCGATGTTCTTCTCAGACTTCTCGGATTCCAGTCCTTCCGCGTGAATATTTCCCAGCCTCTTCGGGTGGCTTTGTTGGGCAAGTTGCGTAATCACAAAGATCCCCCCCGCGTTCAGTGTCACTCGTGGCAAGTCAGCTCGGATGATTTTGCTAAGGCCGTTGGGATGATCTGAGCTCGGCAAAGGATGGGATGGTAGAGGAGGCTGCATGTATGACCTGCCTGCAGGTTTGCTATTCGCCTGCGCGTGTGGCTGGGGTTCGTTCGCCGAAGTTGGGATCTAAGCTGCCAAGGAGCTGCTGATGATGAGGGTGTCTGTTGGGGGTTGGTGTTTCTCTCTTTCACATGTTCAGAGAGGATAGACGTACCGAGCGAGTATCTTATCATCATCCTCGCCCATCATCCTTGTACCCAATCTTCATCCAATGGACAACGTCATCAAGGTGGAAACAGGAGTGGTAGAGAGGGAACTCGAGATGGGTCAAGGGGTGGCGCAAACAGAAGGTGTTTCATCACCATCTCTTTTTCGTTCCTTTTCTCTCGCATATGCAGTTTCCAGCATCTCCTGGTTCGCCGATTGTCAGAGAATCACGTCGAGACTCTGACATCATTGGTTCAACCCTCTCGATTCCCAAACGTCCTATTTTTGAAACACGAGCACAGGAGAGTCCAAATGCTTCAAACTGGTCATTCTCATTCCTCATTATTCCACTTTCCACTTCCCCTTCCGCCTCTCCCTTTCCCTTTCCCATTTCCATCCCATCCCCATCTCCACTTTTCCTCTGACCGT